CTCCGAGGCGGGGTGGGGGCGGGGCCGTCTGCGAGAGCCGCGGGCGAGGACGGGCCGCCGAGCAGCGGGACCCTCCCCTCCCCACACCCAGAGTCACCGCGAAGGAATGCGGGGCAGAGCCGGCTGGGGGGGAGGGCGACCTGCGCCCGCCAGGCCGCCTTTTGCATGGAGTTTGCAAGGGAAATGCGGCGCGCCACGGCCACAGCACGTCCCCAAACGCGACTTTATTGCTCGGGAGTGAGAGCGGGCCGGAGGGCCCTGCAGGCAGGTGTCGCTGTCCCGACCCCGCTCCCCGTCCAGTCCCCTCAGGACGGCTCCGCGCTTTGCTTCGGGTGCAATGTCTGCTGGGTCCCGGCGTCCTCGGGGGCCTCTCCTCAGCCTTGACCTTGTAAGAGCTGGGGTCTCTGCATCCCCAGCAGGCTTGCAGCCCTGTCTGGGAGGGATGGCCAGGCCTCACCCCGCTGGTCCAGCCCCTCCACCTGGGCTCAGAGAAGGTCCCCTGCATACCTGGGAATTCCTGGCCCCACTCTCTGAAGCCCATCCTCGCACCCACCTTCCGAGGCAGGGGTGCTGGTGATGGAGGTGCTGGTGATGGAGGCCCACAGCCTCAGGGGGTGACCTTGGGGGCTGGCCTGCGGGGAGCCCCAGCCCAGGACAGGAGCTTCTCGTGGATCTTCTGGCTGGTCCTCCCCGTTGCTGCCCAGAGATCCCAGATGGGTAGGGACAGGGTAGGTGTCCCTCACTCCCCAAAGCAGGGCCTGAGGCCTCTCCTCCTCTGCCCCGAGTCCTGGAGGTCCTGAGGGCTCAGGCTCTCTCCATTCCCACCACCAAGTCCACCTCCCACTCCTCTTCCCCTGTGCTCACCTCTGCCTGGGTCATCCTTAACCAGAAACTCATCCAGAGCCACCCAGCCACCTCCTGCGCACACCATAGGGGCACTTAGAGATGCCTGCACGGGCGCAGGAGAGTGGGGGCCAGGCCTTCCCGGTGGGGATGCTGGGGACAGCGCCCATGGCCCTGCCCTGCCACCAGGCCCACACTCACACCTGTTCACCCAGGCTCCCTCGGCCCTGGGCCAGCCTCTGGCCAGCTGTGTGCTTGTCCCCACTTGTGTCCTCCACACTGGCCATGCTGTGTGGCTGCTGCTGGCCATTGGGGAGCCCTGACCCCAACAGAGTGCTGAGGTCTGGTGTGGGCCCAACTTCCCCCAGGGAGCTGCCAGGATGACCATGTCCGTCCCCAGCCCTGCTCACCAGGTGTCAGGATCCTGGCCACCAAGTCTTGCCGGGAAGCTCAGCTGGCAGCCCTCCCCCAGGGAGCTGCCAGGATGACCATGTCCGTCCCCAGCCCTGCTCACCAGGTGTCAGGACCCTGGCCACCAAGTCTTGCCGGGAAGCTCAGCTGGCAGCCGGAGTGCACCCTGAAGCTGTTTCCTCCTCTAGCCCAGACATCACAGGTAGCGTCCCCACCAGGCCACGAAATCCTTGTGTGTGCAGCCCCTTGCTGTGAGAAGGAGGTGTGAGGCTGGCCGTGCTGCACCTCTCTCGTGTGCCTGGGTGGGCAGTGCCTGTCTGTCCCCAGCTCCGGGTACGGGCAGGCTGCCCCCACTGGTCCTTGTCCTCCCAGCTCCTCTCCCTGGGCTCCGACTTCCTGAAACTCCAGCTCCCTGTGGTGGCCTCTGCCCACTGTGGCCGCCCCCAGTCAGGGCCCCTCAGAGCGAGCACAGTCTCTTCCTCCAGCCCCCAGGCCTGGGCCTGTACCATGTACAAGGCAGGGAGGGGCCTCAGGGAATTGGGGAGGAGTGGGGGGTGTCAGGAGGCAAATGAGATGGGTCCCCATGCCCAGTACTGCCCACTGCTATGCCTGCTGTCACTGCCTGAAGCTGGTGCCCTGCCTCTGCTGGCCCCTGGCACCAGAGCCTCTCAGCAGCTGTGCCCAGCCCTGCAGGACCCACACCTCCCCCCACCTTCCCCGTGCAGGTCAGAGGGGCTCTCAGCAAGTATGATCCAAGAGGAGGGATCTCAGGGCATCCGAGAGCAGTGTCACCATCCTGACCCTGGGCTGGTCCACAAAGTCACTATGCAGGATGGAGCCTCTGGCCACAGGCACCCCCTTGGTCCCACTGGGCGCAGCCTGGCCCAGCCTTCCAGGAAGTGCGAGTGGCTCCCCCATAAAGCGGCCCATGTGCAGCAGCATGTCCTCCAGGGTGCATGGCCTAGAGAGGAGGTGTGGCAGGCTCAGGCAGGCTGGAGGGTCCGGTGGGGAACGAGCTGGGGGCAGAGCCCAGTGGCAGACTGCCCACTCCATCAAGGAGCCGGATGCAGCAGCCCCGCGGCCCAGCAGCTCCATCAGCAGGCGCAGATGGCAGGTGCCCTCGCAGGCCGCCCCTCCTCACAGGGCTGGGGACTTCCACAGCAAAGACACTGCCTGAGCTGTTACCCCCAAAACTCCCATGAGAATTCCTGACATCAGAGGAGCCTCGTACTCTGTTGTTCCCAGGGGGGAAGGGCCCAAGTGGGGCCTGATCCTGCTGCTTCTGGGCCCCTCAGCCCCCCACATCCTGCATCCCCCTGCTCCACACCCACCACCCTGTGCCTCACACTGAACCTTCCGTCAGAAAGGGGACTGTGCCGCCAGCTGGCCCAGTCCCCTCGGAATGCAGCATTATTTGGAGACAGGGTCTTTGCAGATGTGATTAGTTGAGACAAGGTCGCACTGGAGAAGGGGAGCCCTAATCCAATATGACCGGTGTCCTTATAGAAAGGGGGCATTTGGACACCCACAGACACGCAGAGAGAGGAGCCGAGGAGAGAGGCCTGGAACAGATCCCTTCCCCACAGCCCTGCCCACATCTCAACCTCAGACCTGCGGCCTTGAGAGCTGTGAGTCAACAGTTTCTCTGCGTCTGAACCGCCCAGTCAGTGGTGGTGGTTGGTTTCGAGAGCCCCAGGACACTAATGCAGTCCCCAAGCGTGAGAAAAAGCCTGCAGAGCAAGCGAGGAAGGGGATCTGGAGCTGCAGGGCGGGAGGCAAACCTCAGGACTGCCCCGGTGAACCCAGCTTCTCCCGTGGTACAGAAGCGGGGGAGGAAGAGAAGAGGGGGGTAGGGGAGGGGGAGGGGCAGAGCCGGGCAGAGCTGGGCAGAAGCCACTCTGGGCCTAGAGATGGCTTTTAGTGCAGGAGAGGAGGCCTCCACCTGTACCTCAGAATGACATTTCTTTCTGTCTTGCTCCACATACATGCACCGTGCCTTCTTTCCAGTTGCTGCATGGATGGAAGTCATAAATAGCAACACCGTGATCTGAACTAGGAAGTCTACCTGATAAGAAAACGGGCAGGACGTGTCCAGACACCTTGGCCCTATGTGCTCCCACAGCAGTGCAGTCTGAGGTGCGGTCCTAGGCTGGCCACATTCACCTGGGCCTGCCTGGGCCTCCAGCTGACGCCCCTGGGAGAGCAGAGGGGCTGTGTCTGGGGACTTGAGGTTGTTGGAAGGGTGGGCTGAGCTAGGACGGAGCCACCAGAAGCCCTTTCCTTCCTCCCCTGCGGAGCCCTCCTCACCTCCGGGTGTCCTCTGGCCGGGCCTCTCCCACCAGCAGACGGCAACTCCAGCCCCGGGGCCCCCAAGTCGCCCAGTTTCTCCATGGTCCCCCTTTCCTCCCAAGCAACTCTGGGGTGACCCCCTCCCTCCTGCCAATCTTCCAGGCACCTGCAAGGCGGGGGCCCAGCTGCCCTCAGGTTGGAACCTCTCCTCAATAGCTGCCCACTCTGCCCGGCCCCGCGTGGCCTTCAACCCAGTGTCCTGCTCCTGAGCTTCTGGCCAGCGCCCCCCGGGGGCTGCACCTCTGCCCTTAACACAGCTGGGGAGAGACAGCTGGGTGGAGAAGCTGTGGCAGGGGAGGAAGGAAAGGGGGGCAGAGCTGACCAGAAGGATTTCTGGTGGCAAATTCATGACTTGGCACCCACCATTCTAATCTCAAGACCACCTGAAGTCCCAGCCTGGTGACCAACACCGCCCCCATCCCACCCTGCCTGGATTCCTCTGCCTCAGGGCCCCTCAGCCACCTCCTGGGCCTGGCCCCACATGGTCTCTATGGTGACCCCTGTAGGTGGCCCTTTGGGGTACCTGGTGTTGGGTGCTGCTACTGGCCCAGATGCTATGGGTGCCCCTGCCTGGCCAGGGGCCTCTGCCAGCCCTGCCAGCCTCTTGAGCCACTCTCCCAGCTGGGCCAGCCAGACACTCAGCTAAGGGAGGGAACCAGCACTGTCCCAGACAGCCCTGGCTGAGGCAGAAAGCCCTCAGCAACCCCTCTCAGCTTCCCTGCCCATGGGGCTGTGGGCTGCAGCCTCCTCAGAGGACACAGGGCAGGGTGGAGACCCCTCCTCTGGGGTGGGCACAAACACCGGCTCTTGATCCTTGAGCCCTTGATGCTCGGAACCTGCCCCCTCCTCCCGATCGAGCTGGACTGCCAGGCCTGGCTGGGGGTGAGGGCTCGGGGGACCCTGTCCTCAAGGCATGTAGCAGCTACTGCTGGACGCTGGCAGCGCCGTCCCCCGCCAGCCTCACCAGAAGCTGCTCCAGCGGCTGCCTCAGCAGCCAAGCTTGGTCTCCTGCAGCCCATGCAGAGGGCAGGGCCAGGGTCAGGGGTGTGGGGCATCAGAGGAGACCTCAAGGACTGGGGGCATATCCCCTGGGAAACAACACAGATGTCAGCACCAGGAAGGGCATGTGAGGGGCAGGGGAGGGCCTTTTCTGGGGGTCTCAAAATATAAGCGCTGAAGACACCTTGGCAGATCCTGTGAGCAGATCCGCCAGCCACTGGCCAGTCTCCAGGGTCCTCTCCAGGTACTCAGCCCACGCCACAGCCCCCTCACACACATGCTGTGGACACAGGGCGCTGAGCCCTGCATCAGCCCGCCAGCGCCCGCCCTGGGCCTGGGTCATACCTGCAGGCACCACATAGCCCGTTCCTGGCCTTCAGGCCCCAGCCGGCCCTGCCAGAGCTTAGCCAGGAGCTGCTCGCCTGGACTCAGCTGTGCCAGGAGAGCCTCACAGGCCATTTCAAAGCTCTGTGTCTCCAGGACGAGCTGCTCCAGGAGTCCCCACCTGGGGACCAAGATGGGGTGGTCAGCAACTCTCTCCCCCGTGCTTTTGCCCCCCACGCCCTCCATGGCCTTACCTGGCCTCTGCCTGCTGAACCAAGCAGTCCCCCTGTGCACACAGCTCTGCTGGGCTTTCTGCCTCCCAAAGGCTCAGCTCCACCTGTGGCACCCGATCCTGTAGCAGGCACCTGAGCAGCTGCCAGACACGGGGTCAGGGGCTAGGCACAGGGTGTTGGTGGCCCCTGCCCCGCCCTCCCACTGATGCTCCCGCAGGGGTCACTGCCATGTGGTCAGCAGCAGGTGTCTTTTGCCTCTGAGACTGCAATTGTCCCACCACCCAGGGGAGGGTCTGCCATGGCTCAGCACCCAGCAGGCATTGCTATGTGCCAGTGGCTTGACCTGAGGCTCAGAGGGGACTCGGGGGTCCCAAAGATGCCCCACCCGGCCCTGGCCCCCATGCCCTGTACCTCCTGCTCCTGCAGCTGGGTGGCAGCCACTGTGGCTTCAGGGGCTGGGACCCCTGTGAGGCCTGCAGCTCCTCATGCCATCCAGCCAGTGGCCCAGGGTGTCCAGGCGCCCCAGGGGCATCTGCCAGAGGTACACACTCAGTCCTGCCCTCCCCTACCCAGGCCTGTGCTGCCTCACCTGGGATGGCCACCCTCCTCGTGAGCCGGGCCCCCCCCCCCACCTCTGTCACCACCATCTCTGTCACCTCCATTTCTGTCACCTCTGTCTCCTCGATGGCACAGGGACCCTGCCAGGCCCAGGAGATCCCTGGTGGGAGCAGGCCCTGAGGCCCTGCTGGTGGGAAGGGGGCCCCTTGGGCTCTGGCTGGCCCCCTGGCTGCTCCCTCTTTCCCCCAGGCAGCCCAGCCTGAGGCTGGGTTTCCCATGGTGGATGCTGCACAGGGCAGCCTGAGGGGTGGCAGGCACGGGGCAGCCTGAGAGTTGGGCACGGGGCAGCCTGAGGGGCGGTGGGCATGGGGCAGCCCTGTGGGGGTGGATGGAGACACAAAATCAGATGAGGGGAGCCACCACCCACTGGGCACCCAGACACCCCTGTATGCAAGGCTGGTGTTGGGGTCACACCCCTGTACTCACCAAACTTCCTGTCTGGGGTCACCGCTGCTGGCCTGACCTGGGCAGGCTGGAGCAGGCCTGGGTGGTCACGGGGAGCCTGGAGCAGCTGGAGCTGGTGCCCACCTTAGACCACATCCCTAACCCTGCAGCTCGGCCCCAGCCCCAGCCGGCCACCATTTCCTGGGAAACCAGTGCCTCCGCCTCAGCCATGTAGGTGGGGGAGGGGTTGGGGAAGGGGCTTCAGGGCTGAAGCTTCTCACCCCTCCACCTCCATTCCCCATACAGCAGGGGGGCGGGCTGAATGGGGAGGTTTGAGGGAGCTCCCTCCCCACCCAGGCCCCGGCCAGCCCTGTGTGCTGCTGTGGGGCTGAGGCCCCATGCTGGTGACAGAAACAAGGGAGGCGCCGTGGGTGGCAGGTGCAGGCTGGCCTAGGGATGGTCTGGGGTCAGAGGAAATGGAGGCACACACTCCGGGGTGCTGGAGACCGCAGGTGGGTTCTCCCACCTCCTCCACAGCCAGGCAGACCCCAGGGACCCCTGGGCTGCATCCTCCCTGCCACCCATGTGACATTGATGGCCTCCGCATCTTCCTCCAACCGCCCCACCCTGGGCACGGCCCACCCAAGGCTTCTCGCCACCCCAGACTGGTCGGCTCTTGCTTTCAGGAACCTCCACGCCTGGGCCACACCTTCCCCACCTGGGCCTGGAATGAACCTGCCCCTCCTGCAGCCTGGAAGCCCCCCTCCCAACAGAGGGTGGGGCGCTCCCGGGCCCCGGGCGCCTGGGCGCTTGTGCTTCGGTGGGCAGCAGGCAGCATTGCGGGCACACCGTCTGCCCACCGCCGGCCCTTCGACACTGGCCTCCACTGAGCAGTGGGCGCTGTGGGCGAGTGGAGGGCTCTCCTGGTGCCTGCCGTGCTGGGCCCAGACCTTCCCCAGAGCCGTCCCCGCTGGTAAGGAGGGGTGGAGAGCCTGGGACCCGGCCTGCCCTGTGGACTGATACTGGCTGCCCCGGGGGTCCCTGGGGCCTGAAGCCAGCCCCACCTTTCCTCCTGCACCTGCGTGTGACCACCTGGGCTTGTCCTTGCCAGCTCCCCTTCTTCGTGGGGCTTTTGCGGGGTTTATGTTGCTGTTGCCTTGGGAACTTTCCATCGGAAAGTGCTGGGCGGGGTGGGCGAGCAGACAGGCTGGGGCAGGCTGGCAGACACACTGTGGGTGGATGGGCGGTGGACGCCTCTCCCGGAGGGGCTTGTCTGTCCCACACCCTGGGTTGGCCCACCCTGCCCAGCCCGCGCCTGTTCTCAGCCCCCACCCCAGGCCCGGGGAGTGGGTGGGTCCCGGCGGGGAGCCTCAGTGGGCTGGAAGGGCATGTCCCAGCACAGGCCTACCCACTACTGGCTCCCGGACTGCGTCCCTTCACGTCCACCCAGCTGCCAGGACATCCTCACAGGGACCAGGGAGTTCCCAGCACTAACCACCACATCTGGCTTCTGGACCTTTGCCCAGGCAGTGTCCTCAGCCTGGAAGGCCCCTCTGCCCCTCTCCCCACTCATCCTTAGGCCTCTCATGGGGAACAGGGAATCCCGCCTCCTGATGGCTGGCCCATGGGTTGCCTCCCCACCGTGTAGGGCAAGGCAGAGCCTCCATGGAGCTGGCTAAGGGTCTCCGGCAAGCTCCAGCTTTTCCCATCCGGCATCTGGGCCAGGGTCCTGGGCTGAGCCCACTCCCCTGGACAGGAACAGTAACACATGCCCAGTGGGACCCTCCAGCACTCTTGCCACCTACCCCACCCCCAGGAGCACTGACAACCACTCTGGAGTTGCCAGGATGTCCAGCCGCTGGCAGCTCAGAGGGCCACGTGGTCCTCTTTCCACACAGTGGCTCCCCCATCGTGGTAGGTGAGTGACGCGGAGTGGGCGGTCAGGTGGGGAGGCCCCCAGGCTGTCCCCAGTCCTGCTCATCCACACAGTGCAGTGGGTGCTGGAGCCCACGCACACACCAGTGACCTGGGGCTCGTCCTTGGCACTGCTGCTGGGCCTTTGCACAGGCCATCTCTCCCCCAGGGCCTCCCTTCTCTATGTCTGCTCCTTGCACATTCAAGCTGGTGCCCTGGGCACCCGTCCAGGCCTGCGCCTGACCTAGTGACCCCACCAGGAGTAGGGACCAAGGCCTGCCCCACCCACACCACTCAGTCCTCAAGTGACCACAGTCCCCGCTGCACCAGGACGACGGCATGTGCACACACAGGCACACATGGTGAGGGCCTCACCGCCCACAGCTGGTGGGGTCTGAGCCTGAGTGTTGGTGCAGATGGACCCAGACTGGAGAGACACACGCAGGCAAAACCAGGCCTGAGGACACGGCCAATCAGCTCTCAGGGATCTGATGGTGGACACTCCGTGGCTCTTCTGATAGTGGCCAGTGGCCGGCTGGAGAGTGTGGATGGCTGGCCTTGGCAGGCAGTGTCCTGATGGGGTTGTGGAGCCAGGAGCACTGCCAAGGTCAGGGTGCCCACTGAGGTGAGGAGGATGAGGTGGCCAGGGAGGGTCGGGAGCTGGGTCGAAGGCACAGCAGCTCCCAGTCACGAGGCCTCCCCTCTCGGCCCTAGCCCCTGGAAGGTAGGCACTGGCGTGGGGCGGGTTCCGGGAGCGCTACTCAGGCAGAGACCTCAGTTGGCAGAGGCGTGCATTGGGGTGAGGTGACTTGTCACAGGATGCAAAGATCATGAATTAGCCCTGCGACAGCTTCTGCGCTCACCAGGACACACGTCTTTTGATAGCACAGCCCAGACGTTTGGAGGAACCTGAGTCCAAGGGACCCGCAGCCTGTCCCAGCTGGGTGGAGGGCTCCTGGGCCCCTCCCAGAGCTGGAGGTCCACGTGGCAGGTCCAAGGCTTTGGCCAGTAACCAGAAACCCAACTGAAACTGGTGAAAAAGATAAAAAATAAACAGGCAACCCTTGACCGGCAGCTCCGAGGAGCTGAGAGGGAGGCTGGTGCGGAGCCTGCGCTGCTCGGGGGGCAGAGTACAAGCCAACGTGGGGCCCACGAAGCCCGTGCGCCTCTCTCGGGAGTTCTAGAAAAGTCACATTGGCTCTCATTGGCTCTCACTGGCTCACCTGCTGTTATAGGTTGAATTGTGTCCCCTGAAAAGATATGCTCACGTCCTAATCCCAGTACCTGTGAATGTGACCTTATTTGGAAATAGGGTTTTCTGCCAATGTCATCAATTAAGATGATGTCATTAGGCTGGGCCCTGATCCAGCAGATGGGTGTCCTCACCAGAGAACGCTGCCGAGTGAAGACAGACGCGGGACACGGGGCTGGAGCCGCCCGGGGCTGGCAGCACAGCGCTGCCGGCTGGGAGAGGCAGGAGCACGCCTGCAGTTGCAGAGAGCACGTGCTGCTGACGTGCCGGGAACAAGTTTCTGCCATATAAAGCCACCGGTGTGTGGTCCTGTGTTATGGCGGCTCCAGGAGACTGATCCAGGCTGAACCCTCATGCATGAGGATTGGGGGGGGGACCCAGACAATGCCACAGGAAGTGGAATCTGCTCCAGAGTGTGACTGGGCTGCAGAAGGCGGGCAGTGTCCTGGGGAAGGTGTGACTGTGCCTCAGCAGATGCCAAAAGAGTCAAGCCCTGCCCCGTCCCCAGCCTGCCAGAGCAACTGAGACCTTCCACAGAGCCCCAGGAGAGAGGCAGCGGGCAGGCCCTCATCTGTGGCGTGGTTGCCCAAACACAAACGTACCTCAGTTACACAAACAGGACAGGTCACTTTCTCACACTCCTACATTTGTGGCCTGAGGTGGTGCTTGTTGTGCAGCTGAAGTTACAGAATCCAAGAGGCTTGAGTGGCTTCAGGGACAGAGGGCAGCTCCAGAGGCCGTTCTCTGGGTTCCTAATGGGTGAATGTGGCTGGAGCCACACCTGAGTAAATGTGACAGCCACAGAGGCACTGGTGTCCTGGCCCAGCTGTCACGGCCTGCATAACCCTCCCACCTCCACCCTGACTGCTGCGCTCCAGACTCGCTGGTCTCCGTGTCCAGGTGGCTTTGCATGTGCTGTTCCTTGAGCCTGGAGTGCTTCCCTTCACCTTTGCTGGATCCATCTCCAGTCTCTGGAGGGGGCTGTGTCCAAACAGGGCACCGAGGGTATCTCCAGCCCCACTGCCACAGTAGTCTCACTCCAGCAGACCCCGTGATGCTCTGTGAACTGCCAGGTAATGAGGGTGGCCTGGGCCACAGCATGACAGAGCCAGGGGAGGACAAGGGCCATGGCGAGATGCACATGTGCACTGGTGCCCATCCCAAGAAGTGCAAGTTGCTTCCGACTCTCTTTCTTGATGAGGGTGGAAAAGGACCCACCCTCAGGGCCCAGGCAGGGACGTGCCCATGTGGGATTTGGGATTCTGCATGGTATAATCTCAAGCCAAGGACCCACCTTAAGGCAAAGGAGGCGTAACAGCAGGCATGTGACATAGGCTCTGAGACAGCTGGAGCAGCCTCGTGGTCACAGCTGAGGTGCCAGCGTGGCAGTCACACACTGTGAGGCTGGGCACTGCCATCAAATGTGGGGTTTATATCTTGAACCGGTAACCACTACACTTGTACGTACAGTGCTCCATCCCCAACAGGTGGATTTGTGGCCGGGCCATGAAGGGGCCCCTTTGTCACCTCTGCCTGTGCCCCTCCTGCAACTCCAGGCTCTCCAGGTCCAGAGGTGCTGCTGTCCAGAGAGGCTGCTTCCTCCAGGGGGCACGGTCAGGGTTCCACTGGGCCTAAAGCTACAGATGCCACCCGGTTACTTTGGGCTCCACATGCCCCTGACCCCAGGAAGAGGTGGCATTGCTGCTGCTGGGTGGGGTGTGGAGGAGCACGCTTGGGACAGAGCATCCTGAGCTGGGAGTGCTGTGTGTGCCCGTGAACTGCAGATTCTGCATGCAGGGTGTGGGCTCTGGCAGCCGGGAACAGACCCAGTGTGCGCTGCAGCTGTGAGTGACCCACCTGGGCCTGGCTCAGATGCCTCTGTGGTCCCAGGAGGGGTCAACTGATGCTGGGCTCCCAGGAATGGGAATTCCGTTGTGATGTGACACCTGGCACCTGCAGGGAGTCACTGCACCACAGGGTCTGTTCCCAGGCCTGGAGCCTCCTACAGGGAGGGTGCCGGGTGCCCAGGAAGGCCATGCCTCCAGGTCCCCCTGCTGCCCCCTGAGGCCTCCCCTCCCAAGTGTTGCTGGAGGGCAGGCTGCTTGCTCCAGGCACTGTGCTGTCTCAGGCTCATTTTTGGTTACTGCCAGGGACAGACAGGGCACTCAGAAGTGGCCACAGCGGCCAGCCTCAGTGAGTGAGGACCCTGTGGTTGAGCCCCTGCAGGGCCTCCATCCCTGCCACCACGGCCACTGTGTTGGTGACCTCACTTAACAGTCCCAGGACATGCAAATCTTGTCCTCTTGCCCCCAGCCCCTCAGAGCCTCGCCACGCTGTGTCCACTCCAGCGGGGGCATTCTCACGCCCCTCTGGGCCCCTTCTCACCAGTCCTGTCCCCTCCCAGCACCTGCTGCCCATGGGCCTTCCTTGGAAACTGTGCACGGCTGGACACAGGGGACCCTGGGGTTGTTCTCCCAGCTGGGGCTGGCACACTGGGCAGGATCATCTGTAGGGTTGAAGTCCCCCCCCAGTACTCATCACCTGGCGGTAGGTGTGTGCCCCCAGGCCTCAGGTAGGGGGTGAGGTGGGGATGGCAGGAGCAGGTGTGCAGCGAGGCAGGCGTGCCCCTCTGGACCTGCTGGCGCCCGATGTGCCATTTTCTGTGTACGGTG